CCCTGATCAGCTGACGTTGGAACCGGGGAGCACCCCAAAGGCTAATACAGCTGGGTGGGCACACAACAGGTGCTGTCATCCTGTGTTCCCAAATCAGAATGGCAGGCTGAGACACCAGCCTTCCCATCGCTGGCTGGAATTCACCGGCCGAGCATGGCCATGCTCCCGCAGAGCTCTGCTTGGCAGGTGCCGGCGCACCTGTTGTGTCATCAGACCCGCTGCAGTGGAATGAAGTCACCACGAGTGCCACCCTATCCTTTCCTTCTTGCCACAGTTATTTGTTGGCATTCACCAGGTGCCAGGCACTTGGCTCTGTGTTAAGGCAACCCTGGCGGGTGTGTTTATTAAGAGTCTGCATTCCGGGGCTGTGCGGGGAGAGAAGGAAAGAAACACAGCACAAGGAAACAGTGGTGGAGAGCAGCCAGGACGGGGAAAGCCGATCGGGGGACACGAGCAGGAAGCAGGTGGGCAGGGTGAGGCCCAAGGGTGGTGGAGGCAGGCCTCCCAGACCTGGAGGGTGAGAAGGGTGGAGCCAGGCCGCAAGCTGGGGGTGCCCCTGCCAGGGAGGAGTGAGCGAGAAAGGGCCCGCCTTGCTCCAAGTGCTGGCAGAAGGGCTGGCAGAAGGGCAAAGGAGAGCAGCCCAGGTGAGATTAGAAATTAGGCAAGGCCTTGTGAACCACGGCAAGAAGCCTTCGAAGGGCTTTCAGAAGTGAGATAATGTGGTTTTCAGTGACTCTAGTGACAGAGTTGGAGAGAAGCAGGCGGCAGTGGAGGCGGGAGCCCTCAGGTTCGTCCAGGCGGGCCACCTGTTGGAGGGAGCGGGAGGAGACAGAGGGTAAAGACTCTTCCCCACCACTTCGCACACCAGCTCTGAAGCCCTGTGCCACCGTCACCGTACAGAACGGTGGCTTCATGGAGTCCCCATCAACTGGCACCTCTGGGCTGCAGGATGCCCCGTACTCTGATCACCCAAGACTCACTCTGAAATGAGTTCTTCCCCAAGGCCTCTTGGGTTCCCCCTGCAAGTACAGTGCCCACTGTAAGCTGACCCCGTGGGGTCTTTGAGAACCAGAGGCTGCCTCCTCCCACCCCACAGAAAGGGCTGCAGAATGATCAGACCAGGTTACTTCCACAGCAGGGAGCGTGCCGCACTGGGAAGAGCCCTGCTCTCTAGCTGTGTGTCCCTGGAAAAGTCACATCTCTGAACCCCAGTGTTTTCATGATGGGAGCACTGCCTCCCTTCCAGGGGCGTTAGGGAGCTGGTGCTGGCTTCTGATAGGAAAAGGCTTGGAAAGGCAGCAGACTCTTGAGGCAAGAAAGGAAAAGGTCTGGAGGCTCCTGAGTTCTTTTCAAGCCTAGAGGTTCCTGTTTCTCCCTTGAAAGCCCACCTCTTGCTTTGCTGGTAGCGTCACCCGCAACCCTGCCCCGTCCTTGTTTTTCTCCCTGTCTCATCTGCAGCCACCCTTCCCTGCCCATCTTTCTTCCCTCAGTGTACCTGTCATGCCCACCTCTTTGGCAAGCGGGGAGTGAGTGCTGGAGGTGGAGCATGTGGAAGGCGGGGGCTCCTGCTCACGGCTGGGTCACCGCTGCCTGGCACGTAGTGGGTGTGCAGTAGGTATCTGCAAACCATAGGGACAAATGCTGCCCGGGGGTCTTGCCTTTGTGCCACCCTAACCAGCCTGACACCACTGGGATGGAGCAGGTAGCCTGGCGAAGTCAGGTTTGTGTGTGGGGGAAACCCCGTAAGTGCCATGGCAGGGGTCTGAAGCCTCAGCCTGTTCCCATATAAACAGGGATTTAGAAAAGAATTAGAAATGTAAGTACATACTTGCTCCTTTATGTAATCATATATAACCTCACAGTTACTCACTTAGAAAGATATATACTCAATATAACCTTTAATTTTACTAATGACTATTGGGACATGAAGCATGGAACTGAGGTGACATTATGAACAAAGTGACCCAAAGGCAAGATGCTCTAAGCCACTGTCATACGCCCGCTAAGGGCTGCTGGAGGGCGCCTCGGCTGTGTGGCAGTGCGGCAGCGCCAGTGCTGGGAAATCCCTGCTGTTTAGCCAGCTAGGGAAGGAGATGTCCAAAATGACTGAGACATCTCCTTCCTGCGGAGTTGGGAGAAAACTCCGCTCTCCAAGCTCTTGCGATGGGCCTGGCGGCTGTCAGGGTGCCCGCAAACACCCGGGGCTGAACTGTCCCTGTGAGATGCTGCGCTTCAGGGGTCATGCTCCATGTCCACTCTCGCGCTCCGCTTCTGCACCTGGTTTCTTGAATTAGTAACAGTAACATAATCTTAATGTCCTTGACATTTCTGACAAATATGCGAAGAGCGCTGACGCATTAGGTTTTCTCCTGGCCTCGGCTACTTGGAAGTCCCGGCCCCCTGTCTTCAAGTCACGTGATTTGCTGACCCTCTCGCCGACCACCATGTCTTCACGCGACCTTCCCTGCGCCCTGCTTTGCACTCAGTAAAAGTCAGAGTGTCCGGGCACTCGGGGCCACTGCAGGACGCTGCGGTTTCGTTGCCGGTGAACCCCCGAGCCCAAACTCTTTTCTCTTTCTTAGTGTCTTGTGTCTTTTATTTCCAGCTTCTCGTCTGCACACCAGCAGAGAGGGGCTCACAGGACCCTGTAGGGCTGGACCCTGTAAGTTTGTTCATCTGTGGCCCCAGGAAATACCTCCTGGGACACAGGTAAAGAGAATGTTCCTAGGATCTTGTGGAAGGGTGAAGCACAGATGAGGTTTAGATAAGGCAGCCTTTTTTATTTGAGTCTCGTTCTGCTGCCCAGGCTGGAGTGCAATAGAGCCATCTCAGCTTACTGCAAGCTCCACCTCCAGGTTGGAGTGATTCTCCTGCCTCAGCCTCCTGAGTAGCTGGGATTGCAGGCGCCCAGCACCACGCCCAGCTTTTTGTATTTTAAGTAGGAACTGGGTTTCACCTGGTTTTACCAGGTTGCTCTCAAACTCCAGACCTCAGGTGATCCACGCCCGTCAGCCTCCCAAGGTGCTGGAATTATAGGCATAGACAAGGCAGCCTTCTGAGAGGCTCAGAGCAAGGCTATGTGCGAGGGGGCCAGCCAGCAACAGGGCTTGACTGCAAAGGGGCTCCGGTTTTTTCTGGGAGCCCCCAAGTCGTGATAGTTATGGAATACTGCACCGCAAGTGGACTACGTGGGGTTCCTCCAGGTTGGAAACCCAAGCTGCTTCGGTATCAAAGTGACTTGTACCCTACAGGGACTAGCAGGTTGTTTCCTTCTTACTGATAGATTTCAGATAGCAAACTTCCTGCAAATGAGTGATTTGAGAGCAAAGTTCTCGGTGACTAGAAAAGCTGTTGTCCCTCAAGGATGGGGCCACTGTGACATGTGATAGCTGCCGCAGGGAGTCCTTGAGAAACAGGGTTCCTTGTTAAATTTGCAGGTGGTTTTATCTGAGCCTGTTATTCCAGCTTGATGAGTGGTCAGGTGAATTTTTGTTGCTGCTGTTTTGAGAGTCTCTGTCACCCAGGCTGAAGTGCAGTGGCGCAGTCACAGCTCACTGCAACCTCAAACTTCCGGGGTCAGGTGATCTTCCTACCTCAGTCTCTTGAGTAGCTGGGAATACAGGTGTGCACCCCACCCCCACACCCAGCTACTTTTTGTATTTTTTGTAGGGATGGGGTTTTGCCATGCTGCCCAGGCTTGTCTCCACCTCCTGAGCTCAAGCAGCCTGCCTGCCTCACCAGGTGGATGTTTATATTCCCAGTGTGGGGGATGAGCTGCAGGAAGGAAGGAGGCCATTATTGCCCTACTGCCTGGACCAGAGGCCCTGGGGACACGGAGGGGAGTGCACAGATGGAAGGCACATCCTGGAGGTCAGATATGAGCACTCAAAGTGGGGGGAGAGCACGGAGGCTGTGTCCACTGTGACTCCGGTCTCTGACTCAGGCTGTGGAAGGGGCGATGATGTGCCGAGGAAGGAAGTGAACTCGATTTTGGAGGAAAGAGGTTGACTTTGAGGTGCTGACAAAACAGCCTTGTGCAGATGCCTGGTAAGTGAGTGGACGCTGGCGGGCGGGGTCACGGTTTCCAGGCTGGAAAACCAGCAGGCCGTACAGGGGACATGCGGGAGCTCAATCTGCAGGAAGGTGGCCCCCAGGGACGACGCGTGGAGTGGAGAGAGTAGGGAGAGGCAGAAAAACTCCAGAGCACAAGCTGGAAGGGCCCAGAGACAGCGGGCGAACCAGGGCAAGGAATGGGCGCCAGGGTGCCCAGGAGAGAGCTCTGATGAGAGCTCGATCACCAAGCACCAAACGCTGCCTGCGAGGACCCAAAGCGCCCCTTGGATGTAGTGACCGGTCCCCTGGGACCAGGTTTTGGTGGGTTTGAGAAGGAACCAGCTGAAGAAGTGGGGTGACAGGTTCAGACATCTTGGAGTGAAGGGGGACCGGCTCAAGCGGAGCACGTGGGGTGGAGGGAGTCTATTTAGCCAGGCTGTGGAGCTGGAGCCTGATGGCTGCCGGGAAGCACCTGGCGCCAGGGAAGGGCGAGGCAGGGGCAGCCGGCGGCGTGAGGCCCGAGGGGAGGCGGTCTGAGGCTCCAGGCCAGGACCAGCACGCCGGGGAGTCGGGGGAGTGTTGCCCGGGCCCACGAGGCTGCACTGCAGCGGCCTCTGCAGGGCGGCTCCGGCTTCCTCTCGGTCCACGTGGGCCACTCTCCTCCCCAGGTGTCTTCTCCCCAAGCTCAGCCCCTCCCCCAGGACCTCCCACACCCTGGTTACTCCGCTGCAGCGCCCAGCCCAGACACCCCTTCTCCCCAGGTACGGCTGCTGGCCCTAGGCGATGCCTGGCCTGAGTCATTGGCCACCTTCTCCTGGTGACGTCTCCGAACGCAAGCAGCCCGGCAGGATTCCAGGTACTGCAGCCGCTCCTCAGGCAGACCGAGGCCCCGCTCCCGGCCACGCCCCACCGGGTTCGGCCCATTTCCTGTGAGGTACGTCACCACTGGCTCCGCCCCAGGCTTCCGCTTTGGCTTCCACGATTGGGGCAAATAACTGCCCATCAGCAGTGTTGCCTGGCAACGGGGGAGGGGCGGTTCCTGAGGGAAACCTGTGAGTTGCTGGACCGGAGCGGACCGAACCGAACTGCGCCAGGAAGCCCGGCCGGGTAGGTGCTTAGGCTGAGGGCCTCGGTGAGCAGACCCGGAGGCGTGGGCCCAGCTGCTGTGGAGACTGGAGCCGACGAGTCCAGAGTAGGCCTGGGCCCTGCCCCTCCCTGGCCGCCCATGCCTCTCCAGGCCCTTGGGTCGGAGGAGGGAGCAGAGAGGTCGCGGGAGGCGAGAGGTGAAGGCTGCAGGGAGGTGAGGGGTGGGGACGGCTGGGAGGGATGGAGGGAAGCCCTTCTGGTGGAATCAGAATCACTCTGCACCTCCCGCTATTCATGGGGTCAAGGTAAAGAGGGTGGGGAGGTGCCTCCCCCAGGGTCAAGGCCGGCCGTGTTGAAGGGGGATTCAGAGCCAGTGTAGACGCGGAAGGGGAGCGGTGCCTCCGCAGAGGACGCCAGTCTAGGGTAGACACTGAAGTGTGTGTGGAGTGGGTCTTCCTTCTTCTGAGCACACCCTGCTGGACTCTTCCAGGACGACTACCTGATAACTGTTCCCAGGCCATGTAGGTGGCCAGCGCAGGGCAGGTTACCTTCTGGCCCGCAGGAATTCCTTCTCAGGCCCAGGCTGCGCGTTCGCACAAGGGCTTCTGGCTCTGAGAGACAGACAGGACTTGAAGCCTGTCCATATAAGGCAGTTGGAATCTCCTCACCTTGTGGGTATACTGAGGGCTCCTTGTGTGGCTCTAGGGTTGTGGGACCCTCGGAATAGAGAGTTGGGGCTTGCTGGGCAGGGCGGGAAGCACCCATGTAACACCTGTTGGAGAAGCTCTGAGTAGGAGGTGACTGAGGCATACCAGTGGGAACCGTGGGTCCCATCCTGCACAGTCAGCCCCTGTCTACCTTTCCAGCTCTGAGGCGGAGCAAACTTCGTTCCTTCCAAGCAGACCAGTTTCTCTTGTTCCCAGACAAGAACTCAGGGAGCCACTCTCTGTTGTCTTGGGTCCGTTATTCTGTCTCTGACCTTCAGTAAGCAGGTTGGATGCCCTGGGTTACCTTACTTCATCTTCTCAACCTTATGTTAAAGAAATAACTTAATTATGCTTATTAGCAGCATATTAATTATTCAAGACCATTGCAATGGGTATAGGGACCACAGCAATGGGATTTTCTAGTAAAGGAGAGAGACTGGCTCAACGCTGAGGATAGCGTGGGCAAATGGGAAGCCAGGGAGCGGGGTGGGGATCAGTAGATGGAAAACGATTAAGGAAACATCAGGGGGTAAGGTGGGTTCTGGGTAAGCTGACCAAAGAGATTCTTACTGAAGGCAGATCAGGGTGATCAGACATCACCTAGGGTGAGCTTGTCCAATCCGTGGGCTGCATGTGGCCCAAGACGGCTTTGAAAGACATCCAACACAAATTCGTCAACTTTCTTAAAACATGAGATTTTTTTTTGTTATTCACACATACACACACACACACACGCACACACGCACACACACACACAAGCTTATCATATATCGTTAGTGGGTTTTATGTGTGGCCCGAGGAAGCCAAAAGATTGCATACCCTGACCTAAGCGTTGAACCGGGTTAGATAAGGGGCGAAGAGATAATGGTGATCGGGTATCAAGAATGGGTGGTGTGGTGGTTTTTGTTTTTT